GGTGGTGGTTACTCACTCAAGTCTTCAAGATAACAAAGGTGCCGTAAATTGCCAGGGTCAGTTTCCACCACCAAAATAAAAGTTTCATCTGGATCTAAATGAAGTTTACCGTAATGTGATTGCATTCGGTTCTTTACCGTATGATCCTAGGTTGATCTTAGGTTTAGTAAAATATACCCTATTTGTAATTGGAGTATGCTCTGCTGTCTTTCATTGTACTTTGGTGAATAAACTATATAAAGCCTCTTATGTTCAGTTGGGAAACATTTCTCAAATAGCTCAGAAGAATTATGTTCATTTCTGTAAGCTCTGGTATAGCTGTTTCAGTGAAACTCATGGAAAACTCACGTGTCAGCGTTTCTGTCAAGTTTCTACTTTTTGATGAAGGCCACACTCAATACGAGTCATTTATTCCATGAGCTTCTACTACCAAAATTATAGAAGCATGAACTTTGATACTTCTAGCACCTGTTCAGTTCTTTCTCGTTCGTTCTCAACTGTACAGTTGACTCTCATGCACTTCTTTCCACATCCTCGGCGAATTTCACAGCTTCGCAGTTTTCTTCTTGTTCTCAAGCTTACCTAAACACTATATTCTATTACTTTTGCAAAAGCTAAATATATTTTCATAAAATGTGGCGAATTCCACCTCCTCCATAAATTTCCACCTGAATTTCTTCAAACTGAGGTGTTGGTTGCAATAGGGCCTCTGTGTGTCCAAATCGCTTGTTAGTCAGTCTTCAATTTGTTCATCTTATTCACTCGAAGACCAAATAAATATAATCATACTACATATTTTCTGGTAAATACATTGCACCCTTTGTGTTTCCAAGGCTTTGCCTGGGACGTTTTAGCGCGGTCACAAAGAAAGTAGAATTCTGTTACATTCGGTGGCCACTTCTAACTTCCACGAGGTTCTTCCTCGTTACTGAGCACCGTCGCATCGTTTCCCAGTCTGTTACCAACTACCTTCATCTAAACGTCATTTGGAAGGAAAATAAATGAACCGTAAATATCTCTGAAAAAAACCGGTATGTTCCTCGCGTTCGCTCGGAATTCCGGGTGGATAAAAAGCCAAATAATTTCTTGTAATGTCTTCACCTGGTCTCGGCTGTTCCGGCTCAGGGCACCCCATCATGTGCCCGCAAAGATTAAGGAGTGGCCCGATGTGCCCGTATTAAAGATATCATCACAGGGTCCAGATCTGTTTTTTACTGAAACTGCTTCTAGATGAGTAATTTTTCCAAATAACAACAGCGCAACAGTTCTTGATGATTATCCTGCCAAACATGTTCATCTATAGATATCCCAGTTTCATAGAAAGGTTGTCACTGTTGTTGTACTGCTATATGCGAGCAGGGTATCTATTTCTGCATACATTATTATACTGTCAAGCAGGCCATTTTCTCTACTACAAGCTCCCTTGGTGATAAAATTTGAGGTATTTGTCAAAACCAAAGGAATGCATTTCTTCCAATATGACAGTTTCCCACAAATGAATTATTTTCCTTATGATGTCATGTTTCAATACCTTACTGAAACTATAAATAAGCATTTAATTGGCAATTCACTTCCTTTATTTGCTGCAACGTTAAAGACCTGTGATTTTCAATTACAACATGGTAATAACCAAGCGCGCATTGGGTGTTCTTACTGGACACGTAGCTAAATAGGTTTCGTCTCATTTCTCATCTCTATCAATTTATTTCTTAACGTTTTCATTCTTCGGTAGTGTCTGGTGCCTGCAGACAATCAAATGGGTTGATACAAACAGGATCTTGTTAAAATGAACGTAAAGTTCATTTTTATCTTCAGAATAATGCGATTTTGATGAGATTATAGCAACATCAGGATGATGTTCTCAAATAAATAAATTATGCAATATGAAGTAAAAATAATGCGACAGAGCCAATTACCGGTGAGAAAACCGGTAGTCCCAAATACCTATTGCGCCTATTGTTCTATGTCCTTATATTGTAATGGCATTGATATTTTTTGGTTGGTTGCTTTCATAAAAACACGATCTTAAAATACTTACTTTTGAAAGAAAGGCGTACAGTTTTCGACATTTGCGTCGACACCTAAGCGTTTCAACATAAGTGTCACCTAGATTCCTCCTGTTTTACATTTCCCTCAACGATACTTGAGAGTGATGGTGTGTAATGAGCGATATTGTTTTCAAACGACCATTCTTTGGACCTCGTCTCCATGCATACTCGTCATTTCATCCATACAACTATACAGGCCTCGAGCAGTAGACCAACGTTGTGCTCTTGACAAAGTTCACAAGTGCTGTAATTAGACCAACCCCACCCACCCCCCTGGTGATTTTAATTACGGAACCCCACATGCATGGCATTTGTGTCCACTGTGCCAACCGGTTCACACTAGAGCTAACCGGAATCAACAACCACAGTTTGTTCAGATTACATCTTTAATGATAGCCTTGTGGTTCACTGAGCCCAACAGCAACGAACCCGGGGTGGTCGTTCAATATGCAAGGCTGACAGGCTGTTTTGAGAGAAAAACTTGAATCCAGTGCTTCCTGAGAACATAGCTGACTGAAGGAGTTGAAAATTGCAATTAAAGATAAAGTTAGTCAAAATCAGTACTATCAGTCTTTCTCTCACACAGACATTATGGTTTTATGGGAATTGAGATGCATCAAAATCTACGATATATTCGTGAAAATTTGATCAGTTCAATTAGATGAAAATTATTTTTTCAGACAGTAAGCATCACACGACTGTACAAAAAGACAAGCGATCCGTTTCACCGCGATGCACTGTCACCATATTTGGGAAGCAAACCAACTGTAATACACGGAAATTGACAAGTATTACACTTGTCGAAACCGTACTGGTCATTTTCATGATCGTCACCATGTGACAATAAAACAATTAAAAATAACTTATTATTACATTTTATTATGTTTGGGTTTACTAAAGAAAACAAATTTGATCGATGTTTCGAATCTTATACTCAATGCTGAAACCTGAGTAGAAAATCGTGCGAATCAATTATGAGACAATATATCAAGAAATTCTCTGAATTCTTCAATAATCACAACAGTCAAACTCGGTTTCTTGGAATAATCAACAATTGCTCTACTAAAAGAATAAATTCTGTCCTGCAATATGCATCCCCTAGTTTTCATCTCCTTGCGCTGCACATGGTACCAACATCTTTCACGTAAGACCGTCTCTCACCTATGATTTGGGTTAGGTAACGGAATGAACGATATGCGGAAGTCCGCAAAATAGTGACCTTATTTTCTTGATTTTATGTTTTAAGACCTTCTCACTCCTTCCACACCACTGACGAGCTTATATAGAGCTTCTGATCAAACTCGTGCAAGTCGCTGACTTTCGTCGGATTTTTTCCTCCCAATGCTACAAGTGCTACAAGCATTATTCGTGGGATTGAATATGATATTGCTCATATTAGACGGAAAATATATCTAATACTATTCACGTTTGTCGTTGCTTTTATTTCGACCCCAGTTGCTGGTGCGTCAGTCGTATGATGCTGGAAACTGAAATCGATTCCCAAAATAAGAGTTATGTTGATGGAGTTTGGTCAATACCTGTCTACGGTTAACAACGCTTAACAGAATTAAATACGGTTAAATAAGAAAACCAAAATAGATTAATCTCGATACGAGGAGGAACAACTCTATCATTTTTTCCATCGTCAGGTCTAAGGGTGTACCTGTATACCTAGGTTACCCGAAAAGCCCCTCATTGAACTATTAGACAGCACAACTTGAACTCTGATTAAGGCCTATCTTTGTCTACAATCAATGTGTTCATCAACTCATGTGGGTACTGTACCACAACTTTACTGTGGGAATCTTCCGTGATTTAGAGTACACTTATATACGTCCCGTTGGTGTCATGTCAGTCATCCCACGAGCGAACACGATGCCACTTCGGGTTCTGATGTACTCCACATGGTCACTAAATGACATCCGCTATGACCATTCCTGTATAGACTGACAAGAAACCAGGGCCAACCGCTCACCCGTTTGGCGCCGAAAAATATATTCACGTATCTCTCCGACACGGAGAATAATTAACATTGCGGTTTATAACACACAACGCATTTCGGATGCTCCATTATGGCCGAAGTACTACATCTCCTCTAGACCATATAACCCCTTTCATGACTCCAGTCAAAAGTTTAGTTATTCGAATCCACTTCCCAGTGCATTGGCACTTTATGCTACAGATATGAGGAGGCATACACTGGTAGAACA